AATACTCAGAAGTTTTTCCTTCTAGCATATAAGTTACAAAAACGAATCGACGCCGAGAGTCTCGCCAGAGTACCATTAGATAAACAATGATTTCATATGTATATAGAACAGAGTGCTCTTTGTCTTTAGGTGACGTTTTTGGTTTCGTCTTTGTGAATAGTCTTCAGTCTCCTGGAGCAATCAGGAGAGTAAAGACGGTCCTTCCTCGTACATCAAATTAATATACTAAAAGGGATAAGTTTAATTCACTGCGTTTTACTTTTATTTATCTACCCATTTCCAATAGTCTCCGAATAAATTATGCACACTTAATTGTTACATTCGCTGCTTGGACGCGTATCAAGCGAAACTTTATCTAATTGAATAATTATCGTAAAAAAACAACTGGAAATGTGACTGGGTAAAAATAGATCGTAAAAACGTGATGGTTTCGAATAAAACTTATTCATCGAAATTGTTGTCGAATTGTTCGGTGATGAAAGATAAAACGTCGCTTTTAGCGATTATCATTTGCTTGTAGTTGTTGCTAATGAGGTTTATCGAAGGCATTGCCGACGGTCCGAAATCACCGAGATCGAGTAAAGCAGTCTGGCAAATAAAAGAGCCGGCTTCGATTCCACGTTCAGAAATTCAATTAATCAACACTTCCGGTTCTGCTTCTACCTACCCTCCGTTTCATTGGTTTTTCTCCGTATTTTTCTGCGTTTCGAGAAGCAGTAGACGATTCCGAAAGAGTCACTCGCAATGTTCGATCGATTAATTTCATTTGAGGAAAAGACCGAAATGTTTAACTCCAAGAATTATGTCTCATCTAATCGTAAAAGCTGTGCGAACGATTTGCGTAGCGTTCAAATTGATTTTATTAAATCGATCTATTGGTTCTCGAATGCAGAATCGGCGTAAGACGGCGCTATCGATCAAAAAGTGAATAGCTGCGAAAACTGTTGCAGCCTAATCCGTGACACCTATACATATTTTCCAGCAGGTGACGTATCCAATGATCGTACGTTGTATGCTGGCACTTTGGTTGATCGCCCTGGCCTTGACTAGCATGCCGGTTTTGGGTTTCGGCTTGTACTATAAGGGCGAGCGATGCGTCCGATACAGAGAAGCCACCGAACCGTCGGATGTTGCGTACGCTTACGTTTGGTTCGTTTTCGGTGAGTATACCGATACCATTGTGTTCGATAAGTTCATTGACGTACTGTTGCTCCGACGTCTCTGACGCGACAGGTGTTCCTATCGTGACAATAGTATTAACGTGGCATTTGCGGAAGAGTACACCGAACTTTTTCGAACGAGTCATGTCAATAGAACGTTTCAACATTTAACCCTTAGCGCTCCACGCGTTTCTCGAGGCACATTTTTGGAGCAAAGCGCCTGAAATAAAGAAAGTCTTATTTTAAGCGGAAAAGATTACACGTCCTTGTGAAAGCGTTCGATTTTATTCATTCTATGTTGCCAAGTATAAAAATGGGAAAATAATATTTTAATCGTAATGGCATCTACTTAACATTGTGCGAGGTCAGTGCATCGACATCGTGAATTGTGACCGAAATTTCCAAGCAGCAAATGCATCCTCATCGAAATGGGTAAATTTACTATTAATGATATTCTTCACAATTCTTAAATAAATATATCCCTCATGTTCTTTGACGCGATTTATTATAAAATTAGCATTGCGAATCGTCTGTTGAATTCTGTTTGGATACGGAATTATTGAAACAAAAATATCTTTTGCGTGAGTTTGCCGGAATTTTTGTATTGTTAATCTTCACTGGAATCGGCTCAATTAATAATTAGATTAAATTAAAAATGAGTAAATATTCTTCGGATGTTCTAAAATAAAGTTGAACAGCGTTTTTCTGAAAAATATCGCTACCAGCAATTCCGGCACATTTTTGGAGCAAAGCGCCTGAAATAAAGGAAGTCTTATTTTGAGCGGAAAAGATTACGCGTCCTTGTGAAAGCGTTTGATTTTATTCATTTTATGTTGCTAAGTATAAAAATGGGCAAAAAATGTTTTAATCGTAATAGTACACACGCTAAGCACGTTTTTACTACAAATAATAATTGCCAACGTCGACGAAAACATAGCATCTTCAGTGTAATCATGCTAAAAACGTTGGGCTCCGCAGCAGAGCCTTCGGATTTACGAAACAAATGACGGATGTCTCCATAGCGGAGCCAACGGAGAGCGTTAAGGGTTAATAGATGATCTTGAAAATATAATAAAAATATAATAAAATATAATAAAATAGATAATCTTTAAGAAGATAATAATATTGAACCTTGGTCAAAATTATTTGCGATGATCATTATAAGGAGAAAAAAGTGACGATAAAGATTAGATCGCGGTATTTTTATAATTCCACTTTTCTAAGTCAAAATGATCGTAAATACCCTTTCTCGACGGTCAATATTATTTTTCATGGGATAACACCATCTGACCAATATTTTCTAGCGTTCTCGGCGCGTCTAGGGAGTTGAAATATTCTTTTCCGCCACTATTATATTTCTCCTGAAATTTATTTCTCCCTAGATGCTCGTAAAAAATAACTAGACGAACGCTGAACATCGGCTTTCAATTGCAGGTACGGGTCTCTGTTTGTCCATAGTCTGGTGTAATTTGGCCGTTTCCAGAGCACTTAGCAGGTTGAGTCGGAAGGCCGGTGCTTTACGACGCGTAACAAGATCCTCTTCAAGAGCGAAACCTTTATTGACGATAGCGGGTCCGCCTTCGGAAGTCGTGGCGACTGCCGAGGAAAGAGCGTTTGCGAGACTGATGGCGGTGCTGTCGATTTCGTTCGTTATTTGTTGGATGCCGCAAATGGTATGTAAATAATGATCCATTCGATATTTTATTGCATCGCTCTCGGTTGATTAATTTTGCTATTTAACCCTCGGTTAGAGAGACACAATTGAAACAAAGATTACGGACGAACTTGTCTCTCTGTTATATTGAAAAACGAAAACCCTTTAGTTTGATATGAAATGATCTTAATTATTTACTTAATAACCTTTAATTTTAATAACTTTTAATTACCCTGTAATACATGTTGAATTTCAACATATACATTGAACGCAAAAATCGATCTAGCTAATAGTTTCTTATTTACCACCTGATACGATTTAATCGTGAATGTGATAATGCATTATTTTATCTTTTCTAATCGTTATTGTTTTTACCGAGTTGAATCGTATCAGTTAACGCAGACATCTCATAAAGAGAGAACGTATTTTATACCTTCTTTAAAATTAAATAAAAGTTCTAATTGAAAGTTCAAATAGTGAAGAGTATTAAAGTTATTCCCATGAGACTAAATATAATTCAATAATATTCTTTAATTTGAATGAAAAGACAATCAATTTAAAGCAGCGTTATTTTTAAAATGCCATGCAGCAGAATAATCGTGCCCGATCGAAAGCTAAATTAATTTTAATGATTATGTTTTAACTGTTACTGTTGATTATTTGCTTGCAAATAATTAAAGGCAGAGTTTTAGGTAAAAGTATATTTATTGAACACACGGAAACACAAGATCTAATATACAGGCTTGCTCGTAAGAGCTTAGAGACAACGAGTGTACTCGTAAGCTGCTCACAGACGACTAACTAAAAAACGCGGAAGACACGCAAACTGAGGGTCGGAAAATCCTTAGTGGTCGTAAATAACCAGTCCGCTCTCGCACCGCGTGTAACGGACTTTCGAGTCAAAATTTGCTCGACTCGAGTCGACGCGCGTTTAGCGCTCACGTGCCCCGCAGATGGGCCGCAAGAGCCGTCTTACCTGAAAAACGGACAAGCCCGTAAAACATACAAAGTACCCATTTTCAATAGCATCGAAAATGCCAGACATTTACAGTTACAAACTCTTACAAATTGTTACAATTCTTCGTCTTATACAAATTCTGACTGCTCGTAGATCGTTCTGATAACACATTTTTCACATTTTGTTCCACGCGTTTAACAGATTAACCCCTTAACGTGCACGCTCGAGTTAACTCGAGCGCGCTAAACTGGCCAAACTGTGCACACTCGAGATAATTCGAGCGGCGTTGTACTTTATGTTGCTATAATTTTTCACACTCGAATGCAATCGAGAATTGAAAATAACAATGTGAAAGCAAAAAAAAACAATCGTTTTATTGATATTTATCATTTACATGGGATTGTAAGCTATAACACTTACATATTCAAGTATAAAATATATCCTTTTTCTACTTATCACTTACGACTTATCTCTTCCTTGTGAGCCGCTTTCCGACAGCGTATTCATATTCAGATTCTGATTCGCTCATTTTTCAATATATATTTTGCTAAAATATAATGTAAAATAAAATATAATAATAATAATAATAATAATAATAATAATAATAATAATAACAATAATAATAATAACAATAATAATAATAGTAATATTCTGAAAATTAGAATTGCAATAAAAATTTTGATTATTTTTGTATTTTTGTAATTTTCTTGCCAAGACCACGTTCTAAATTGTGTTTTTTTACATTAAAAAAAATTGATTGGGGTTAAAGCATCTAACATTTCCAATTGTCGCAAAACTAAATTATGCTATGCTAAATATGTACCATCTCTGGGAGCATAATCCTGAAAATATTAACCCCCGTTTGATCGGCTTTCTCTTCGCGGAACCACTTATTCCGATTGCTTCCGGCTACTGTCGCGGAGACATTCATTTTCCATCGAAGCCTCGCTCATGATTCAAAAAATGAATTGTGTGCTCCGAAGTTTTACGAGCGTATAAAACTGTTGGGAATTGTTCTGACGGTTTATCGATGTTTTATTCTCACGCGATGCTTTCTCGTTCGATATTATCTCGGGTGTACGGTCTCGATCGTTATCACAAACGATACATTTCGACAATGAACCGTAAGCTGTCTAGAAGAAAAAGAAACTTCCGGCTAGACTCTAGACTCTAGACTCATTTATGGGAAGGAATGACGATTACGTGGACTGATTGCGAACTATCGCACGAGAATATTTACCCTCGCGGTCGAAACGTCGATAAAATTCGCGATCGCGTTGATCGTGACGAGACTTTAAACGTCGATTGACACTTTACGATTCCTCGCCATATCGTGTCCTTAAATTATGATTAAGTACGTGTCGGAGCAGTAATGGGCAACTTACTATTTCTGAAATGAAAATCAACAGAAGTCGGTGATGAATTTTATATAACGAACGATGAATTTAACCATCGCGAAGGAAACTTTCTATTATATTCGTCAATATTCTGTGACATCTTTATGATACACAGGAATCAGTTTATTTAATATTAAGTTTATTTAATATTTTGCTATTTAACCCTCAGTTAGACACAATTGAAACAAAGATTACGGACGAACTTGTCCCTCTGTTATATTTAATAAAAAGTTTATTTAATATTAAATCACAGTTAATATTGAATCACAGTTATCACGCATTTGTTATAGAAAAGAAGAATTAGAGTACTGTAATCAATACTGCAAATTTTATGTATTTAAGACAAAAGTAAATAGATCGAGTGCAAGATATTAACACTAGATTTACGGAATCCGTTAAAGCGACAGGTAAAAAATAATCGTTTAATTTACGATTATTCATATCGTAAAGATACATTTATAAGTTATCTATTCAATTTATATGTTACTTATGGCAAATGTTACAATAATAATTACGCATAACACTTGTTAATAATCAGAATAAATGTCTTATCGTTACTTGTATAAACTAATGTAAAACAGCTGTTTTTTGTGCTCCGTAAATCTAGCGTTAAAAACATTTAAACAATTCAAAAATTCTTGCGTCGTTCTCAGCCAATCAAGGTTGCACAAATATTATTCCGACAAAATGAAAAATTACGAGCATACAGTCGATTTCTATTTAACAACAGACGTTCCGAGAAAGTGTCGAGCGTCGATTATCTCAAGAAAAAAGAACATTGTTTCCGATGTAGAATCAGCCGATTATATTAACAGCCCGCAAAGGACTGTTAAATTCGCGACACATCTGATTAGCAAAGCGTGATCTCATCAAGGAAGAGAAATTATGTCAATTGGTCGTAGTTGGAGGAATGTTCGTCATTCTCACAGCCGCATTCTTCGAATTCCCAGCACAACATAATCGCTATTCATTCTGCCCCCGACGAATACAATCGCATCGAACAATGCACCCGCGGCTGCCTCAATCGCACACAACTTCCTGCGCTGCCATCTTCTTATTCGATCGTTTTCTCCGCGTGCACGCCGGAAGTTTTCTCTCGAATCGAAATTAAACCACGAAACGTACAATCGAACGACGCGTTCGCGAAATTAAACAAAGAACACCTCCTGCCGACCCGTGAACAGAAACACGGAACCGTTTCGTCGGACTCGCGTAGGCGCGTGTACCGCAGAATTAATGTAATGATTCGGTCGTGTAAAGATGCAAAATCCGACGTGCTTCCGGCCAGCCAACGCGAACCTTGGAAACATCGATTTAGTTTAGAATATCTTCACGTACGATCGATCGCAACATCCGCACAACTATCGATGCTGGTTAAATCGTTCGCTTCGAGCGCGAACGGTGTCGGCCCCCGCAGGCCCCCATGGAAACCAGCGTGCTTGCCGTGCTTTGTAAAATACAAACAAAACACCGTGGCTAGCAATAAATGATTCTCCACATTGCGATGTCCGTTTTGCATTGTTCGCGCTCTTTTGTCGGCAGATCTCCATACCATTGGCACAGTTGGCGCTCCAGCTGCCCCAGAAGGCGATATTAGCGCGGAAAGCAATTCACATGTTCCACGTGGCCGCAGACGTGCTCCTTTGTATTCACTTCACCCTGGATCCATACATCTACGTGCTGCTGAGGATGCCGAGGCCAAGATTCCGTCTCCTGAAACCGCTTTGCAAGATCTGTTGGCCAGATAGAAGCCGATCGAGTTCGTTCACAGGTGAATGCTTTCGTATCGAGCTGCAATCCGCTAATTGTGCGAAACAACGACGTGCGAGTTATTCGAAGACGGGCAATTTCGAGTGTCAGCTTCAAGGCGATACTTGCGTTCCAGCGTGAAAAATACGTTTTGTCTTTGCGAGCAAGAGACATTAGAATTTACGAGTATTTTATGTGAATGTTAACCAGTTAGCTGTGGCGCCTCCTTTGTAGAAGAACTGTGACCAATAAGAATCGAGTACGGCTGACGCGAGGCGGCCCAGTCAACCAGCGCACGAAGCCCAGTTCCGCTCATTGGCTCGGTCGCCTCGCGCCAGCTGAGCTGGGTTTCGACCGCCTCGACCGCTGGCGCCGTTGGCTCGGCCGCCTCGCGCCAGCTGAGCTCGCCCCTCATTGGTCACTGTTTTTCGTTAATAACTCGTTAACGGTGCCCCGGAGAACATTTTTGTAAAGGAAGAAGTTGCTTCAAATGACCTGAGAAACCCGCCATTTCCGGATTACGAGACACTTTTGGGACATCCTGTAGATCCTTGCTTTCAAATATATCACACAGAATTATATTATTAGTTTCTACATATTGTTATATTTTAATAATTTTCGGCTCGTTATTAATCATATTATCTGTTTTTCGTTAATAACTCGTTAACGGTGCCTCGGAGAACATTGTTGTAAAGGAAGAAGTTGCTTCAAATGACCTGAGAAACCCGCCATTTCCGGATTACGAGACACTTTTGGGACATCCTGTAGATCCTTGCTTTCAAATATATCACACAGAATTATATTATTAGTTTCTACATATTGTTATATTTTAATAATTTTCGGCTCGTTATTAATCATATTATCTGTTTTTCGTTAATAACTCGTTAACGGTGCCTCGGAGAGAATTGTTGTAAAGGAAGAAGTTGCTTCAAATGACCTGAGAAACCCGCCATTTCCGGATTACGAGACACTTTTGGGACATCCTGCAGATCCTTGCTTTCAAATATATCACGCAGAATTATATTATTAGTTTCTACATATTGTTATATTTTAATAATTTTCGGCTCGTTATTAATCATATTATCTGTTTTTCGTTAATAACTCGTTAACGGTGCCTCGGAGAACATTTTTGTAAAGGAAGAAGTTGCTTCAAACGAGCTGAGAAACCCGCCATTTCCGGATTGCGAGACACTTTTGGGACATCCTGTAGATCCTTGCTTTCAAATATATCAC